AAACATTTCTGTCAAACGGGCTTTTGCGAGCAACTTTTTCGAACTTCTGCGACAACGGTTGCGCACCTGCCAGGGCCATCATCCCTGTCAAATAATACCATGCGGGACACATTCGTTTTTTCTTCGCGCGCGCACGCCGTCGTCGTCGGCCGCGGGGCCCTGAATAGTAGCCACGGTCGTCCGCATGCCACGAAGTGAAGTGTCCGAACGTCATAGGGCGGGAAGCTGGGTGTGGGTGGTGGCGAAGAGTCGTTTGGAAATTTGGTAGAGCTTGAACCGGCCCCCCCACAAAGTGGGGGTATTGCCCGCCTCCTATGAAAACCCTGGCACTGGTGAGAACGGAGTGTCCCCACGTGCTAGTAATTGTTGTTGTTGTTGTTGTTGTTGTTGTTGTTGTTGTTGTTGTTGTTGTTGTTGTTGTTGTTGTTGTTGTTGTTGTTGTTGTTTGGGGGTCAGTTTGGGCGCCCCCCCAAACCGCTCGAGCGTGAGCTTCATGTTCAATGAAAATGTAGCCGGCGCCGAGGCGAGAGCGCCAGAGCGCCTGGGTGGGGTCCAACACTAATAATTGCTTTAACATTCAACAACTCCGCACCGCAGTATCCCACTTCAGCCACGCACCCAGGAACAGTGAATGACCGTTCGACCCCTCACTCTGACAATGGTACTGACAATGGCGATGGCGTGACGATGACGAGTGTGATCATGACGACAATGCTGCTGATGATGACAATGGTGACGATGACACTTCCATCACCTTCTCGTTCCGAAAGGCGAGTCCCGTCATATAAGACGTCCTAAAACATCTAGCTCAACATGCCAGTGTTAGAAGGATGTCCAGGGTCTCCTCTGAAGTCGATCGCTTGGATGTCCCCAGCGAGAGTCTAAAATTTCTGAAATCTCATGGTTTGAGGATGTCTCAAGCCAAACTGTCACTTCTGAGTATTTGGGCGACTTCGCAACCGAACTCAATATCTCCACTGTTTGAGGATGACTCGAGCGACAGCTCCACTTGTAAAGGCGAGACGTCTTAACACAACCCCTTCAACTTCTCAATGTATGGAGGATGTCTCCAGCGAAACTACAGCTTTCGGGGGAACCCATATGGACAAGAGCGGGAAGCGCCGCTTCTCTGAGCTTGCGTGCGCACGCGCGCATGGACTTGCGCACAACATAAATGCGTGCACAGGGGGTGCAGTCGCTTGGATTCCCTAGGTGCCTAGGTGGCTGCCGCTTCTAGCTTGGGCTTAGTGGTTGCCTGTGGTTGCTTTGGTCAGTCGTAGTGCGTGGCCTGTGTATGTGCGTGTGTGTATGTGCGTGTATGCGTATGTGTGTGTTTGTGTGTGCCTGTGTGCGCGTGTGCGTGCGTGCGTGTGCCTGTGTGCCTGCGTGCCTGTGCGTGCGGCTGGGTGTTCGGCCGCATGCGTGCGTGCGCGCGTGTGCAGGGCGTTGGCTGGGCGGGCGGGACTGGGGGTGTGTATGGCGTGCGTGCGGGGCGTGTTCTGGGGGGGACAGGCTGGGGGATGCACGGCGTGCGTGCGGGACGTGTTCTGGGGGCAACGGGCGGGGGGGTGTACGGCGTGAGTTTGCGCAGCAACAGTCGATTGCATGTAAACTGTGCAACTGTGCAAAACGAGAGGTTGCACGTAAACGGTACAACACCATCATCGATAGCGTACCATTTACGTGCAGCCTCAAGTTTGTACGGTTTACATACAATGTCTCGCGTTCGATCTCGCCCCATTTGCGTGCAGCCAATCATATTTGCCTGTTCTGGGCTATGTTGCACTTTCGAAGGCCATATGCGCAGCAACGGTCGATTGCATGTTAACTCTGCAAGTGTACAAATAACGAAGCGTTGCACGTAAACGGTGCAGCATAAACATCGATAGTGAACCGTGTACGTCCAGCCTTTCACCCCATACCGTTTGCGTGCAATCTTCTGCGATCGACATCGCACCGTCTACGTGCAAGCCGGTCATCTTAGGCCGTTTAGAGCTATGCTGCCCGTCCTGGGGCCGCCTGAAGTCCCTATTGGGTCGTCTCTGACGCATCTTAAGCCGCGTTTGGGACCACTTTGGGCCGTCGTGGGGACCCAGAGCCAGCACGAATTTGCGAACAAATCGTTTTGTAGAGGATGTCTCGAGCGCAACGGCCGTTTTGATGATCTCAGAGTCCCCTCCGAAGTCAATTTCTTGTTTTTGTGGTGCGTCTCTGCCGAGATTCTGCATCCACATTCTGTAAGAATAATTGGGGCGGCAAGCGCCGGCGAGAAAAATGCTCCGCAAGAGCCGCGCTCCGAGCTTGACAAGCCCCGCCGCTGTACTGGCAAGGCGGCTCAGAGATGACGGCGCGAGAGGCCTACCGCATCGCATCCCTTCCGCCATCGATATCGAACTCCCCGACAGTGGAGCGCCCATCGAAGTACCTCTCCCTCAGAACCATCGCATCCCACGTGCCTGGCTCAGGCGTCTTCCTTTTCTCGAACGAGCTCTTCATGGCCATCTCCCGCCGGGCGTCGTCCTCGTCTTCCCCAACGAGCGCTTGAAGTCTCGCTACCCAAAACTTACTCCATTTTCTGTTCATCTCAGGGTCCTGCGCGATGAGACACCGGAATTGCTTGAGAGTGAGCTCGCGAACGAGAGCGGACTTTATAATGGGGTCGTCTTCCTTGATGTCATACACGCCCTTCAGGGGCACGTTGACGGTGTCGAGGCCGAGGAACTCGAGGAGTTCCTTTTGCTTATACTGCGCGGGATCCGCGAGGAAAGCTTCCATCGCCTCTAGAGGCTGCTTATCCAGGGGGGCGAGGGGCTGAAGGTCTCGGGCCTTGCAGAATGTCTGCCAGCTCTGCTTCGCGTCGGGGTTGGTGGCAAGGTAGGTGCCGCACAAATCTCGTAAAAACTTGCTAGGGCCAGAATATCCGAAGCTGGTGCCGGCCATCGTGCCACCAATTTGCGCCAGGCGCCTTGTAGCCGCCCTGGCGGTGCGGCTCGGCACAGCAACAGCAAAGGCGCGCGACAAACACGACAGCGGCAAGTGGATGCGCGAAGCGAAAAGTGCGAGGAGCAAGAAGAGCAGTTGGGGGCGTCTCCTTTCTGCCCGCGGGGGTGCGCACATCTCGTGCGACATGCAACGGCCGAAGGAGCCGTCCGCGGGGTCTCCCTCCCGTCTAAACCTACCTCCTACAAATTCACGCCAACAGGCCTTGAGCCAAAATGGATACGGAACCCTCCGAACTCAATTACTTGAGCACGTCTCGAGCGAAACGCCCCTAAGAATTCGGTGGATTTCGCGAGCGATCTCGGCATCTCGCTTTTTGCGAGAATGTCTCGAGCGAGAGCTTCTGCTTTACCCGAAGACATCTTCAAAACGACTCTTTCTTTTGTTCGAGGTTATCACGAGCGAAACGGCCATGTCTGAATACTCGAGCGAGTTCGAGAGCATAAAACGTCTCAAACCAAACTTCTTCACCATGTCATGTATCCGAGGATGTCTCGAGCGAGCCGCACATGTTGGTAGGGACCCGCCGAGCAGTGGATAACTTGCTACGGCGAACCCGTTGCCCCTCGCGTCACTTTTCTTTACCTATCTGGGCAAGAACGGGAAGCGCCGCTTCTCTGAGGTGCGCACATCAGGCGCAGTCGCTGGGATTCGCTGGATGCCTCGATGGCTGCCGCATCTAGCTTGGGCTTAGTTGTTGCCTGTGCTTGCGTTGGTCCGTTGTAATGCGTGGCCTGTGCGTGTGGTTTTGTCTGTGGTGTGTGGTGTGTGTGTTGTGTTGTGTTGTGTTGTGTGTTGTGTGTTATGCGTGTTGTGTGTGTTGTGTGTGAATGTGTGTGGATGTGTGTGAATGTGTGTGTGTGTGAATGTGTCTGTGTGCGTTTGTCTGTCTGTGTGCGTGTGTGAATGTGTGTGAATGTGTGTGAATGTGTGTGAATGTGTGTGAATGTGTGTGAGTGTGTGTCGTGTGTTGTGTGCTGTGTGTTATGTGTTGTACTTGTGCTTGTTTGTGTTTGTATGTGTGATTATGCATGTGTTTGTGTGTGGTGTGTTTATGTGGTGTGTGTGGTGTGTGCGTGCGTGCGTGCGTTCGTGCGTGCGCGGCGTGGCGTGGCGTGGCGTGGCATGCGTGCATGTGAAAGATAATGTGTGAGAGAGAGGGAGAAGTGTGGATGTGTGTATGCGTGTTTGCGTGAACGCGTATGTATATGTGTGTGTGCGCGTGTGCGTGCGTGCGTGTGCCTGTGTGCCTGCGTGCCTGTGCGTGCGGCGGGGTGTTCGGCCGTGTGCGTGCGTGCGCGCGTATGCAGGGCGTTGACTGGGCGGGCGGGACTGGGTGTGTATATGGCGTGCGTGCGGGGCGTTTTCTGGGGGGGACGGGCTAGGGGGTGCACGGCGTGCGTGCGGGGCGTGTTCTGGGGACAACGGGCGGGGGGGTGTACGGCGTGAATTTGCGCAGCAACAGACGATTGCATGTAAACTGTGCAGCTGTGCAAAACGAGAGGTTGCACGTAAACGGTACAACACCATCATCGATAGCGTACCATTTACGTGCAGCCTCAAGGTTGTACGGTTTACACGCAATGTCTCGCGTTCGATCTCGCCCCATTTGCGTGCAGCCAGTCATGTTTGCCTGTTCTGGGCAATGTTGCACTTTCGAAGGCCATTTGCGCAGCAACGGTCGATTGCATGTTAACTCTGCAAGTGTACAAATAACGAAGCGTTGCACGTAAACGGTGCAGCATAAACATCGATAGTGAACCGTGTACGTCCAGCCTTTCACCCCATACCGTTTGCGTGCAATCTTCTGCGATCGACATCGCACCGTCTACGTGCAAGCCGGTCATCTTAGGCCGTTTAGAGCTATGCTGCCCGTCCTGGGGCCGCCTGAAGTCCCTATTGGGTCGTCTCTGACGCATCTTAAGCCGCGTTTGGGACCACTTTGGGCCGTCGTGGGGACCCAGAGCCAGCACGAATTTGCGAACAAATCGTTTTGTAGAGGATGTCTCGAGCGCAACGGCCGTTTTGATGATCTCAGAGTCCCCTCCGAAGTCAATTTCTTGTTTTTGTGGTGCGTCTCTGCCGATTCTGCATCCACATTCTGTAAGAATAATTGGGGCGGCAAGCGCCGGCGAGAAAAATGCTCCGCAAGAGCCGCGCTCCGAGCTTGACAAGCCCCGCCGCTGTACTGGCAAGGCGGCTCAGAGATGACGGCGCGAGAGGCCTACCGCATCGCATCCCTTCCGCCATCGATATCGAACTCCCCGACAGTGGAGCGCCCATCGAAGTACCTCTCCCTCAGAACCATCGCATCCCACGTGCCTGGCTCAGGCGTCTTCCTTTTCTCGAACGAGCTCTTCATGGCCATCTCCCGCCGGGCGTCGTCCTCGTCTTCCCCAACGAGCGCTTGAAGTCTCGCTACCCAAAACTTACTCCATTTTCTGTTCATCTCAGGGTCCTGCGCGATGAGACACCGGAATTGCTTGAGAGTGAGCTCGCGAACGAGAGCGGACTTTATAATGGGGTCGTCTTCCTTGATGTCATACACGCCCTTCAGGGGCACGTTGACGGTGTCGAGGCCGAGGAACTCGAGGAGTTCCTTTTGCTTATACTGCGCGGGATCCTCGAGGAAAGCTTTCATCGCCTCTAGAGGCTGCTTATCCAGGGGGGCGAGGGGCTGAAGGTCTCGGGCCTTGCAGAATGTCTGCCAGCTCTGCTTCGCGTCGGGGTTGGTGGCAAGGTAGGTGCCGCACAGATCTCGTAAAAACTTGCTAGGGCCAGAATATCCGAAGCTGGTGCCGGCCATCGTGCCACCAATTTGCGCCAGGCGCCTTGTAGCCGCCCTGGCGGTGCGGCTCGGCACAGCAACAGCAAAGGCGCGCGACAAACACGACAGCGGCAAGTGGATGCGCGAAGCGAAAAGTGCGAGGAGCAAGAAGAGCAGTTGGGGGCGTCTCCTTTCTGCCCGCGGGGGTGCGCACATCTCGTGCGACATGCAACGGCCGAAGGAGCCGTCCGCGGGGTCTCCCTCCCGTCTAAACCTACCTCCTACAAATTCACGCCAACAGGCCTTGAGCCAAAATGGATACGGAACCCTCCGAAGTCAATTACTTGAGCACGTCTCGAGCGAAACGCCCCTAAGAATTCGGTGGATTTCGCGAGCGATCTCGGCATCTCGCTTTTTGCGAGAATGTCTCGAGCGAGAGCTTCTGCTTTACCCGAAGACATCTTCAAAACGACTCTTTCTTTTGTTCGAGGATATCACGAGCGAATCGGCCATGTCTGAATACTCGAGCGAGTTCGAGAGCATAAAACGTCTCAAACCAAACTTCTTCACCATGTCATGTGTCCGAGGATGTCTCGAGCGAGCCGCACATGTTGGTAGGGATCCGCCGAGCAGTGGATAAATTGCTACGGCGAACCCGTTGCCCCTCGCGTCACTTTTCTTTACCTATCTGGGCAAGAACGGGAAGCGCCGCTTCTCTGAGGTGCGCACGTCAGGCGCAGTCGCTGGAATTCGCTGGATGCCTCGATGGCTGCCGCATCTAGCTTGGGCTTAGTTGTTGCCTGTGCTTGCGTTGGTCCGTTGTAATGCGTGGCCTGTGCGTGTGGTTTTGTCTGTGGTGTGTGGTGTGTGTGTGTGTGTGTTGTGTTGTGTTGTGTTGTGTTGTGTTGTGTTGTGTTGTGTGTTGTGTGTTATGCGTGTTGTGTGTTGTGTGTGAATGTGTGTGGATGTGTGTGAATGTGTGTGCGTGAATGTGTGTGCGGTTGTTTGTCTGTGTGCGTGTGTGTGAGTGTGTGTGTGTGTCAATGTGTGTTGTGTGGTTTGTGCTGTGTTATGCGTTGTGCTTGTGCTTGTTTGTGTTTGTGTTTGTGTTTGTGATTGTGCATGTGTTTGTGTGTGGTGTGTTTATGTGGTGTGTGTGGTGTGTGCGTGCGTGCGTGCGTGCGTTCGTGCGTGCGTGGCGTGGCGTGGCGTGGCATGTGTGTATGTGAAAGAGAATGTGTGGGAGAGAGAAGTGTGGGTGTGTATGCGTATTTACGAGTATGCGTATGTATCTCTGTATGCGCGTGTGCGTGCGTGCGTGTGCCTGTGTGCCTGCGTGCCTGTGCGTGCGGCTGGGTGTTCGGCCGTGTGCGTGCGTGCGCGCGTGCGCAGGGCGCTGGCTGGGCGGGCGGTACTGGGGGTGTGTATGGCGTGCGTGCGGAGCGTGTTCTGGGGGGGACGGGTTGGGGGGTGCACGGCGTGCGTGCGGGGCGTGTTCTGGGAGCAACGGGGGGGGGGACGGCGCGAGTTTGCGGAGCAACAGTCGATTGCATGTAAACCGTGCAACTGTGAACAACGAGAGCTTGCACGTACACGTTACAACAATATCATCGATCGCGTACCATGTACGTGCAGCCGGTCATCTTAGGCCGTTCTGGGCTATGTTGCACTTTCGAACGGTATTTGCGCAGCAACGTGCGATTGCATGTTAACTGCGCTAGTGTGCCAGATGAGACCTTGCGGTAAAAGGCACAGCACGAACATCGATAGTCCAGCCTCACAATTCGCACTGCTTGCCTAAAGTTGTCCGCGCTCGACCTCGCACCGTTCACGTGCAGCTGGTCATGTTGGGCCGCTTTGGGCTGTGTTGCCCGTCTTGGGGCCGCTCGGGTCATCTTGGATGCATCTTAAGCCGCGTTGGGGACCTCTGGGCTGTCGTGGGGACCCAGAGCCAAGACAGAGTTGCGAACAGGTCGGTTGTAGAGGGTGCCTCGAGCGCAACGGCCGTTTTGATGGCGATCTCGGCATCTCATTCCCAACCATCCTGTGGTGTTGGGTCCTCGCTTTGAACAGACGGTCCCCGCGTCCCTCCTCCTCCTCTCCTCTTCCTCCCCCTCCCTCCTCCCCCTCCTCCCTTCTCCCTGCGTTTCACCCACCCAGTACAACGCTTCGTGGCCCCACAGGGGGCTCCACCGAAGGTCCAACTGGCACCGCCCGCATGCGTCCGCCACCACCCAGCACAGCCCTTGCTCCCTGCCTTTCACCCACCCAATACATCGTTTCGTGGCCCCATGGGGGGCTCCACCGAAGGTCCCACTGGCACCGCCAGCGTGCGTCCGCCACCACCCAGCACAGCCCTTGCTCCCTGCGTTTCACCCACCAGATACAACGCTTCGTGGCCCCAGATGAGCGCTCCACGGAAAGTGTCAGTGGCACCGCCCGCGTGCGTCCGCCACCACCCAGCACAGCCCTTGCTCCCTGCGCTTCACCCACCCAGTACAACGCTTCGTGGCCCCACAGGGGGCTCCACCGAAGGTCCCAGTGGCACCGCCCGCATGCGTCCGCCACCACCCAGCACAGCCCTTGCTCCAGGCCTTTCACCCACCCAGTACAGCGCTTCGTGGCCCCACAGGGGGCTCCACCGAAGGTCCCAGTGGCACCGCCCGCCTGCGTCCGCCACCACCCAGCACAGCCCCGTGACCCCATATGGGGGCTCCACGGAAAGTATCAGTGGCACCGCCCGCATGCGTCCGCCACCACGCAGCACAGCCCTTGCTCCCTGCGCTTCACCCACCAAGTACAACGCTTCGTGGCCCCACAGGGGGCTCCACCGAAGGTCCCAATGGCACCGCCCGCATGCGTCCGCCACCACCCAGCACAGCTCTTGCTCCCTGCGCTTCACCCACCCAGTACAGCGTTTCGTGGCCCCATAGGGAGCCCCACCCAAAGTCCCAGGGGCACCGCCCGCATGCGTCCGCCACACCCCAGCACAATTGCGGTATTTACAACTGCATATGGTTGGGTCCTTCGGCCGGCTATTTTTCCCAACCATTCTGTGGTGTTGGGTCCTCGTTTTGAAGAGACGGTCCCCACGTCCCTCCTCCTCCTCCTCCTCCTCTCCTCCTCCTGACCCCTCCCTCCTCCCCCTCCTCCCTCCTCCCTGCGTTTCACCCACCCAGTACAACGCTTCGTGGCCCCACAGGGGGCTCCACCGAAGGTCCCAGTGGCACCGCCCGCACGCGTCCGTCACCACCCAGCACAGCCCTTGCTCCCTGCCTTTCACCCACGCGATACATCGTTTCGTGGGGCTCCACCGAAGGTCCCAGTGGCACCGCCCGCATGCGTCCGCCACCACCCAGCACAGCCCTTGCTCCCTGCGTTTCACCCACCAAGTACAACGCTTCGTGGCCCCACAGGGGGCTCCACCGAAGGTCACAGTGGCACCGCCCGCATGCGTCTGCCACCACCCAGCACTGCCCTTGCTCCCTGCGCTTCACCCACCCAGTACAGCGCTTCGTGGCCCCATAAGGGGCTCCACCAAAGGTCCCAGCGGCACCGGCCGCATGCGTCCGCCACCACCCAGCGCAGCCCTTGCTCCCTGCGTTTCTCCCACCCAGTACAACGCTTCGTGGCCCCATAAAGGGAGCTCCACCGAAGGCCCCAGTGGCACCGCCCGCATGCGTCCGCCACCACCCAGTACGACGCTTCGTGGCCCCATAGGGGGCTCCACCGAAGGTCCCAGTGACACCGCCCGCATGCGTCCGCCAGCACCGGGTACAGCCCTTGCTCCCTGCGTTTCACCCCCCCAGTACAGAGCTTCGTGGCCCCATAGGGAGCTCCACCGAAGCCCCCAGTGGGATCGTCCGCATGCGCCCCGGAAGCCCACATTGGCATTTTCACTCAGCCCGTACAGCACTTCGTGGCCCCATGGGGGTCCACCGAACCGTCCGCATGCGCCCCACACACCCAATTTGGCATGTTGCACCCACCCAGTACAGCGTTTCGTGGCCCCATAGGAAGCTCTACCGACGGCCCCAGTGCTACCGCCCGCATGCGTTCCCCCCCACCCAGTGCAGCGCTTTGTGGCCCCATAGGGAGCTTTACCGAAGAATATATTCACAATTGCGGTACCCACAACTGCATATGGTGGGGTCTTTCGCCAGGATATGTCTTGCTGTTTCGAGGTCGTCTCAAGCGAGAGCCTCGGTTTCTACCTGAAAACGTCTTAAGCGC